AACTCATATCACATTCACCAGGTTCATATGATAGAGTTTAATTTTGCTTCTACTAAAATCATCTTGCACTTGCACACAGTATACTTGATTTCTGAGGCTGATATCTTTAATGGAGTCATCAAACCTGAATGATTTCTGTGCTTTGGGATCTATAATATTGGTCTGCAAATAGTTCTTTCTCTAGATGAAACTATTTGATCCTTTTTAAAATGTATAACTTTTTAGTTAGTGGTAGAGCACATGGGCATGAAACTCTTAAAGGAGAAATAAATGGGGTGTTCGCCAACACAAGTCTGCAAAGAGCTTAAATTATGGCTCAAGGTCCATATCCAATTGAAGGTAACAGGAAACTCATTTCAACGGAATCTGAATCAATTGACAGTTGAGTGGCTTGGGGAATAGATGTGGTAAATTGTTTTTGCAAGTGATACATAATTTGTACAATAAATAGCCTTTTTATAAAGTGTCATCCATTATCAGATTAAACATCTTTTGAAAGCAGGCATGCATGAAGGTTTTTTCAGTAACTTGTGGCCTATTAACTAAAGCCTGGGCATGATTAATGTACAGTCACTAAAAAAAATGGAAATCTGCAGAGCGGAATCAGGAAGCTTTTAATAAATCACTTTGGGAACATCCAGGATAATATTTCAAGGTTGTAGCACCACCTGTTGTAGATGTTTGGAAACTAGGGATTGCCCACTTCCAGGTAGGACCTGGAGATCTCCTGATATTACAACTGACCTCCAGAAGACAAAGGTCAGTTCCCCTGGAGAAAATGACTGCTTAGGAGGGTGAACTTTATGGCATTATATCTTGCTGAGGTCTCCCCTCCCCCACAGGTTCTACCCCCAAATATCCAGGAATTTCCGAACCTGAAGCTGGCAACCCTAGAAACACAGAAATCAGTTTATATGGGGAAAGGTCATCATTGCTCTGTAAACTGGCACAGTGGATGAGTGTAATCCTGTTTCAGAGAGCAGAACTAAGAAATGCCATTGCCTGAGACCATGTTGAGTCAATGCCAGTCAGAATAGACTGGTCAGACTCCATACAATAGCTTCATATGTTCCTGAGCTAAAGAGCAGATTATTAATTACTTGATTTAATCCATCATGTGGATATCAGATATTTTAAGTTGCTTGATCTGGATGTCAGTGATAAAAGTCAGGTTTTTTTAAGGTTTCTGCTTCAGACAAAAAAGGATAAGGACCTGATCCCATACTTTTCATTAAGATGTAATGTACTCTTAAGATTAAGGGCAAGTGCAAAAATGTCTTGTTAGGATGAATTTAGAATCTAACAAGGAGGGGGGACCTGCAATATTCGCGGCAGGGGGGAAGGAGCTCCACGTGGAGGAGGAAGCAGCCACAGGTGAGCCTTCTTCCCCGCTCCCCCCCCCACACAAACGGTGAGTCCCGGGCCTGCCAATCCTTCTCCCCCCAACCCCCTTGCACTGACGGTGAGGCCCATGTGGCTCCCAGCCGCCAGGCCCGTCAATCCTTCTCCTTCACTTTCCCCATCCCAGCGGCGAGCCATGTGGGCCCACCAATCTTCTCCCCGCCGGCGACACAGCCTGAGTGACTCCCAGCCACTGGGCCCGCTGATCTCCTACCCCCCTGGCTCTGGCGGTGCGGCCTGAGTGGCTCCCAGCTGCCAGGTCCGTCGAGTCTCCACCCCAATGGCCAGAGCATTCTCTGCGCATGTTCAGGGAATACTCTTTTACTTTTGCGGGAATTTAAGTATCCCCCATATATTTTTTCAACTTTTTAGATTTTTCTGCACACCTGGAGACTGCTCCAAGTGTGCAGGAAAATCTCCCTGCCCCCCAAGTGTCCCCGATGTGCGGATTTAGATATCCGCATGGAGGGGACAACTTGGCTATTAGATATATAGGTAGACCAACAACCAGGAGAGTCAACTCTTCATAGTAAAATTATTGCATATTTGAGGGTGGAGCCTTGGGGAGAGGAAGGAGCTTAGCAAGGATGTGATATCATGAAGCCCCCACCCCACCTGCTATTTTCTCTAGGGGAACTGTCTTCTGTAGTCTGAAAATCAGTTATAACAAGCAGGGGACCCATAAGGCCTTGCAGGGGCATCTCATTTGATGCTTGCCCACTATTTTCTTTCCCTTCCCTGAAAGCCCCTGTAGCTTCTCTCCTTCCCACCAACCAACCTAAGTTTATCTGCCTCCCCGTCTTCAGCTTTCCTTCCTTCGCTCCCTCTGCAGACTCTCCCTGGGAAAAGTCTGGCACAGCTGCACGGTGCAAGCCATTGGCCAAGTTGTGTGGTGCCAGCCAAGCTGGGCCCAGTTTCACAATGGGGACCCTGTAAGGACTTGCAGGAGGCATCTCATTTTCTACTGTATCCCCCTTCCCACACTGTTTCCCTTTTCTGTTTTCCTGGCAGGGTAGCCCCCATATTCTCAACTTTCCCTGTTTCCTTTTCACCCACCCACCTACCTTTTATCTGGTCCTCATCTTCAGCTGTATTTCATACAAACTCCTACTTTTCTCACCAATGAGGAACCAAAGCAGCTTACGTTCTTCTCCTCTCCTCCATTTTATCCTCACAACAACCCTGTGAGGTAGGTTAGTCAGAGAGTGTGTGACTGACCCTAGGTCACCTAGTGAGCTTCCATGGCAGAATGGGGATTTGAACCTGGGTCTCTCAGAACCTAGACTGAAATTCTAACCACTTATACCACACTGGCTTTTGTGGGATGGTGGTTGTTGAAAAGTAGCAAGCAGCCAGGCCAATGTAAATCAAGGGCCTCCTCGTAAATCATGCAAGTTGCATGGTAGCAGTTAGTCATTGCTGGCAAGCCTGGCCCCACTCAGTCCTCCCTCAAAGCCAAACAGCCCAGGACCCACTTCCCTAGCCTTTTACTTATTTATTTAAACATTTATATTCTGCCATTTCTTGTGGTTCAAGGTGGCTTACAATAATAGTTAAAAACATTTTTAGTTTTTAAAACTAAAATAAAACAGTGAGCCCCAAATCTCTGTTCCCCACTTAAAAGATGCATGCTATTCAAACCCTCTCAAAAGCCCTGGCAAACAGGCAGGACTTGGAAAGTTTCCTGGAGATCTCTAAGGAGGGAACCTCCTCGCCTCTACAGCAGACCCATAGCCAGGATTCTGTGGCTGAAGTTCTCAGTGCAAAAAGAAAAGCCAGAATTCTGAGGATTATATGACTCAGCAGCAGCCGCTCCTGCTCTTCCCTCCCCCCCATCTTCTCAAGCTGTCTATTCCACACAGGTGTTCTTATGCTGGCAATCACCCTTAGCTTTTTAACCGTTTAGCCAAAAGGAAGCAGTTAGGAGGATGAATCTCTAAACTGCAAGCTGTCAACCACTTTAGATGACAGTTCTCAGCTGCTGCAAGTCAATCACTTCTGCCAGCCTAAGCAACAATTCTGACAACAAGCCGGCAGGTGGGGGTGATGACGTCTATAGTCAAGAAAGCTAACATTTAGGCAGAAAAACTCTCTTAAAGGAGACCAGTTTCTTGACACAGAGTTAGTAGGGGTCCTCGAGGTCACCTACTTCAATCCTCTTGCTCAGTGTAGGAATTAGTCAACTACAGCACCTCACTCTGCTTAAAGGAGCACACACCTTTAAAATATGTCTTAAAATGGTTGGAAAAAACATTTACAGGAGAAATTCTTGTGGGTCTGGGCCTTTAAGAAAGGGGGCAGGGCCCCCAAAAGCCCCACCATAGCTTCAGGCCATCTCTTCAGGGAGCCCATTCTACAGAGCAAGAGCCACAATGGGAAAGGTCTAGGCTCTGGTCAATGCCAAACAGACCATCCAAAGTGGTAGGATAGCCAACAGACATCTGCCATAGCTGGCACACAGGGACATACGGAAGGAGTTGGTCCTTTTACCGACAGAAACCAAGTCTTGAAGGCTAGCAATACTGTTTTTACCATGGAGTTTCCAGCATTTCCTACAGATACCTTATGCAGCTTCAGGGTTTCCCCCAGAAGTGACATCGTGACTCAGCTGACATTGTGTACCCCCATGTCCTCAGGCTTAGCCTGGCAACCCTAGATCTGAGAGAGGGAACTCCGACTCATAAAAGCTTCTCCTGGAATATAGTTTGTTAGTTTCTTTATTTTGCTACTGTGGACTGATGTGGTAAGCTACCCATCTGAAATCAGAATTTGCAATGAAACACTGTTGTGCCCCAGATGGCAGGCACCAAAGTATACCACTGATTCCTGACCAATCACAAAGGGATCAGTTTGTACAGCAAAACACACATCTTGTCATTGACTAGAGAATACCAGCAGCTCCTGAGAATAACAAACATTGGCAGTCTCTGTACAGACAGCACTTTCTCTACTATGGAAAGACCAGCACTGCAAAGACGTTGGAATGGCCACCTCAGAGAATAGATTCTGGCCACTATAAAGGCAGCTGATTGCCTATTGTGGAATTAACTTTTTCAGTGCATATTTTGTTGTTGTTTAAATGGGGGAGGGGGCTTAAATGTCTCACATTAGCTCTGTATTTCGCCTTCCGCTGATTCTTTGCTGTATGTGTGACTCAGCAAAAGAACAGGGAAAGGAAGAAAGAACGAAGCTATAAAGGGCAAATTAAATATCTGGTTATGAGGAAGTAAGTCTTAGACTGTGTTTACGTCGACTGTCGAACAAGAAGAGAGCTGCGCTGCTGCGTTGCAGTTTTACAATCTCAATCTATTAGGATAAACGGAGTTATCCCCCTTTCTGTACAACAGCCGTGCCATTTTAAAATCCAGCCTTGACTGAGACAGCGACGCAGCTCTCCGTGTTTTCAGACACATCCAGCGGTCTCCGTAAGTTTTTTAAAAATAGAAGCGCCTCGCATTCGCGCTTTGGTATACGCACACGAAAGCGACGCCCGTAACCACCTCCTACACCTTCCACGCGTGCGCCTTAAGTTGGAAACGGAGCCTTGTGCGAGGTGCATGTGGTCGCGAGGCGGGAAAGAAGCGGCTGCGGAAGCGTTGATGGCTGGAGGTGCGCGTGCCTTCGCGGTCCCCGCGGGCGGGGAGAGCAGCGGGAGCGACGACGACGATGGCTGGGATATCGGCTGCGAATCGATGCGGGTAAGACATGGGCGGCATTCTTCGCCCCGAGGCGCTTGGGGGCGCCTTTTATCGGCGAGGATTAGAGGCCGCAGGTTGGTTGGTGGGTTGGTTCGTTCGTTTCTCCGCAGGGCGCGTTTCTTCTCCTTCGTCTCATCCTTATTTTCTCGAGCTCCTTTGTGTGGAGCTGTATCCCCGTGTCTGGAAAGTAAAATGAATTGTTTAAATAGGGATATTCATGACCCGGTAACTGTTTGATGTGGTAGTAACAGTGCAGAAAAATTAATAATGCGGGATACATCTTTATAATTCTTCTGTAGACTGTGGTGGTGGGGAGAGTGTCAGGTGATCTTAGACTGGACTGCCTCTTCATAGGATCGCATTGTAAATGTGTGTGTGTGTGTGGGGGGGTGTCTTGTTTTTTGTGTCCTTGTCCTAGTGGTCATATAAATAGCCTTATCATATAAATAGCCTTATCACAGCTGACCTAGCAATGCATGAGTGCAAGTTCTTGGGACATCTGCCGCAGCAAGGTGTGACTACTTAGACATGGCATCTAAAAAGGTGGTTTCCCCCATTAGTTTTATGTCTTCAAATCTTTCGATAGATTTTACTAGATAGGCTACTCTTTCTGCCAGTGCCTAGTGTCTTGTAAAGGATGAAGAGCAATGTGGTGCTTGGTAAGTGCTGCCTCACACATTGTAATAGAAATTATCCATGATTGCAGTTAGTTGTGAGGTGCATGTGTGTAAATTGTATACTTGGAGAAGATGCAGTTTTTCCTGGTACTTTTCAGTTGTCTAAACGTAGTGGTGCAAAAAGACTTACATGATCTGCAGTAAGTGTTTTAACAGTGGCCTAATGTACAAACTGTGGAGCTGCGGTGGCTCAAGTGGTTAAGACGCTGAACTGCAGGCTGTGGAAGGTCAGTAGTTCAGCAGTCCGAGACCCGGGTGCCGCATGATGGAGTGAGCTCCCATCTCTAGTTCCAGCTCCTGCCAACCTAGCAGTTCGAAAGCAAGAAATTGCAAGTAGATAAATAGGTACCACTTCGGTGGGAAGGTAACAGCGTTCCGTGCGCCTTGGTGTTTAGTCGTGCCGGACACATGACCACGGAAACATCTTCGGACAGTGCTGGCTCTTCGGCTTTGAAACGGAGATGAGCACCGCAACCCTAGAGTCGGATTCGACTGGCTTTTGAGCAAGGGAACCTTTACCTTTACCTGATGTACAAACTAGGCCTTTATAATAGCTCTGTAAATTGCATGATGCATAAGTAAACTGTTGTGATTTTGTTTTCTGTTCAGAATTTGGGTGAAACCCTACCAACTGATGACAAAGTTGAGGCTTTTAAAAAAGCATTGACTACTGGAAACTTGTCTGTGATTGAAGAACTTTTAAATTCTGGTAAGAATCTTAAATTTTCCTCATTTGTAGTCTGGGTTTCTCATTGAGGTGCAAGGGTAGGAAACAGGGTAGCCATGATTGCATGGTAGCCAGGGTAGCCAGGCAGCCTACATAAGACAACCAGTGAAGAATGTAATCCTAGTAGGATTGTAGGTCTAAGATTACAGAATTAGAGAACAGTGTGAAGAAATAATTTTTCTAAAGCCAGAATGCAGTAAACACAGGTGATACCTACGATCAGTGTTCCCTCTAAGCTGAGTTCGTGAGCTAGCTCACAGTTTTTTAGCCTCCGGCTCACACATTTTTGCCTTGGCTCAGGAAAGAGGGCTCCAGAGCCAAACTAATTGATGCAGCAACCAAATTGCTCGCTCACAACTTGAATGCCAGTAGCTCGCAAAGTAGAATTTTTGCTCATAAGACTCCACAACTTAGAGGGAGCATTGTCTACAATAGTCATTGCAGTGGACTAAGATAAGAGAGGACCGTGGATTTTTAATTGTATTGAAATATAATAAATGTACAGGGTCTGTAAAAAAAATCTAGAGAAGTTCTTTGCATGTACCAGGCCTTGTGGGTGTATATTTTAGTTGCTTGTTCCCCCTGTGTTGAGCCACTCCTTTTGAGTCTGCTGTTTCATAAGGCTAGACTTGAAGATTTCGAACTTTATGAGCAGTCTGAGCTTTGTGATGGTTTGCTTTTAGAAGGCAAGTGTACAGAAGCTTTGCTTTGTGTATTAATTATATATTTGTACCACACTTTTGTCTCCAGGGGGGATGCAGAGTGGCTTCCAACATTATTCTTCTCTCCTACATGTTATCCTCATAACAGCCCTGTGAAGTAGGTTAGGCAGAGAGAATATGGTGGCCCAAGGTCACCAAGAATAGCAAAGTTAGGGATTTGAACTTAGGTCTCCTAGATTCTAGTCTGACCCCCTAACCACTACACCACTCTGTGTCTTTTTCAAAATGTATAAACCTATCGTGAAATACTTTCCTGATGGGTTTATAAATTTGGGGCTCAAACTATCTCTGTCATCAGTTCAGTATACAAGAGTATAACATTATTGTATCTGAAGAAGTGTGTGTGCACACAGAAGCTCATACCTTGCATAAGACTTTGTTAGTCTTAAAGGTGCCACCGGACTCAAACTTTGCTCTGCTGCTTCAGACTAACACAGCTATGCACCAGAATCTATTATTGCTTACAATAAAAGATGGTAATTAGTTCATTAAAAAGAAAATACTGAAATTGGCTTACCAATTGAGAATGACTTGGGAATCTGGTTTTTTTCCATTTCAATTTTAAGGCCATTTCATGTCGTCAAGTTCTGGCTTTATAATGGGAGTGAGCTGATTCCTTCAGAGCCATAAAAGTTAATTTTGAACTACTCAGCTAGATCACCCTGCCTGCACGGCAGATCTCAGATACTCCAAGTGATGTACTTTTATTTTTCCTCTTCATTTTAAAAATAATGTTCTTTCTGCTGTTTTGCCTGTGGCTTGTTAACACATCAAGTTTTTGGTATGGATATAATTTTTGTGCACAAAACTGAATCTTCCATGTGTACATTGTCGAAATGGTCATATATGTATTTGTGTACATAAATCAGAGAGCCAACATTGGTAGCAGATTCTTGTTATATGCAGTGGTAAATAGCTATATAAAATAACTTCCATGTAAAATTTTGGTCATTTGTGGAGTGATCTCTAATATTGGGAAAAGGCAATGCCAGTACTTTCATGGACCTGTTCTCTGTGGAGAAAAACTATATTGGGTTATGATAGAATCTGGGGGTATTATGTGAAATGTCTTTATTTTTACTTCTCATATCTCCAAAACAGGGTCCTGATATATGTAATAGTTTGAGAATATATATTTTTTCTCAGATGATGGAGATATTATCACTAACTTTCACTGTATTTATTTATTTTATTTCATTTATACCCCGCCCTCCCCGCACGCGGGAGCCCCAATCCCATACCACCCAGGCACAGGACCTCCGTCTTCACCGGGTTCATCTTCAGCCGGCTCAGCTTGAGCCACCCAGCCATGGCCTGTAAGGCCCGGTGAAGATCTTCTGGGTCGGAGTCCGACTGGCCGCTCAGCATCAGATAGAGCTGGGTGTCATCGGCATATTGATGACACCCAAGCCCATACCTCCAGACAATCTGGGCGAGGGGGTGCATGTATAGGTTAAATAGCATTGGGGAGAGTACTGCCCCCTGGGGCACTCCACATTCAAGCAGGTGCCTCTGAGACTGCTGCTCCCCTAGCCCAACCCTCTGTCCCCGACCTTGGAGAAAAGAGACAAGCCATTGAAGGGCGAGCCCCTGAATCCCCACGTCGGCAAGGCGGTGGACCAGCAGCTGGTGGTCGACCATATCAAATGCAGCTGACAGATCTAACAACAACAGCGCCGCCACACCGCCTCGAGCCAGATGTCTACGGAGGTCGTCAGTAAGGGCAACCAGCACGGTCTCCGTCCCATGCCCCGGGCGAAAGCCAGACTGGAATGGCTCAAGGACGGAAGCGTCATCTAGAAATCCCTGTAACTGTGTCGCCACCGCCCTCTCAATCAGTTTGCCCAAATAGGGCAAATTGGACACTGGCTGATAGCTGGCCAATTCAGTCGGGTCCAGAGTTGGCTTTTTCAGGAGAGGGCGGACCATCACTTCCTTGAGTGCCTCGGGGAACCGCCCTTCCGAAAGGGACTTGTTGATAATCTCCCTCAAGGCACCTCGAAACCCCTCGTGGCCCGCTTTAATGAGCCAGGAGGGGCACAGATCAAGAATGCAAGTGGTTGGACGCACAGATACAAGCACTCTATCAACTTCCTCCAGGCTAAGCCGGTCAAAGCCCTCCAAGCCCGGCAAAACCATGCAAGGGGCCTTAAGTATCTCACTTAAAAAAAACACCTTAATTGCACTCATTTCTGATGGTTTCAAGGTACATTTTCTATTTTGGAAGAAAGAGTCCTACATAAATTCATATTATTTCGAGGTATAGTTATTGTTTTATATGGAAACTAGGAGGAAGGCCTGTTGCAGGCATGAATGCAACAGGCGCTAGTGGGTGGCCACAGCCCCCCTCCCCTGGCGGCGCAAGTCCTCGTCCCGCGAAGACGGGCAGGGTCGCTCGCAGGGCGCAATGGGAGGTTGAGCAAGCTGGCGCAGACAGGGAAGGGGAGGTGGCGGAAAGCGGCGGTGGGGGGTCTGAGAAGGAAGGGGACGGGGTGTCAACCGGCTCCCCTTCCAGCGGCTCGCTTGGCCTCCCTGCCAAGAGGGAAGGGGAGGGGGTTTAAACCGGAGGCGAGCGAGGGCGGCGGAAGGAGGGCTGGGAGAGGCCCGACGGGCTCCCGGAAGAACTGTCTGCGGCAGCCCCGGGAAGTGCGGTGTGGCCTTTCCCCCACCCCAAGGTGAGGCGGAGCATGCCAGCAGGGTACAGGGAAGCGTGCCGCGCAGCCTGAATAGGCTTGCTCCGCTGTCTCCCTGGGCAGTCGGTCACCTCGTGCTGGGGGATTGCAGTTCTGAGCGTGAAACAGAGAGTCAGCCTACGTTAGAGGCCTGATCTCTGTGGGCGAGCGTGATCACAGTGTCAGCAGTTTCGGAGCCTTCAGGGCACCAGCGTAGGGCTCTTTAACCTGGAGCAGTTGGCTGCATCGGAAGCAGGAGCGTCGGACACGTTGGCCTGAGCTGGGGCTGCGGCGGCTGTTCTGGGAGTCAGTAGTGTCCCTCCCCTTTGCTCTTGTTGGGGGCGTCTCGGCAGGAGTCAGCGTGTCGGGGCTATGCGAAGCGGCCAATGGAGGGGGGGGAAGGTCCTGATGGGCAGTTCAACCGTCCATACACTGTTGGTGCGCATTGCGTGAGTTTGCGTCTTACAGAATTATATATAAGGGAGAGATACAAATTATATTGCTCTTGTGTCATTCTTAAGCTGTAAAAATTAAAATACCCCCAAATTCTGGAAAGGCACCAGTGATTTAGAGTATGAGTATTCTCTAGGAATAAGTATTCCTGACTATTATCTAGGAATAAATCTGTTCTAATTCTCCCCCCTACCTCTAGTCAGCATTAAAATCTGTTGTAGATAAAGGTCTTTGCTGGGAACTTTATCTCTCTTCCAAAGCTGTTACTTTACCTTCTCAACTTAGAATCTTTGTATCTATAAAAATAAGCAGTCTCTCTGTAAGTAACTACTCTTCAACCTCCAGATACCCAGTTAGTGCAAATTAGAGACGTGGTGTGTCAGTCAGAGTGCTCTTCAGTGCTGACTCTAAGCATTGTCCTCTCTAATGCCAAAGCCCAGTTAGGATAAAAGACACTAGTCCAGTTGGGGAGATGACTTGGGTTAAGAATAATGCTGCAAAAGCAAACGTTCTTGGGAGCTTTCTAATGGGTGTTCAGAGATTGTGAAAGATGAAAGGAGTCTGTTAGCAAACAGGTTCCTTATCCAAGTGGTCTAGAACAGTGATTCCCAACCTTGTTCAGACTTCCAAATTTACTTCATATGGTGACCCATCCTAGAACCATAGAATCATAGAGTTGGAAGGGACCTCCAGGGTAATCTAGTCCAGTCCCCTGCACAAGGCAGGGTCATCTAGTCCAATCCCCTCCACACCCGCAGTGACCGCTGTTCCATGCCCAGAAGATGACAAAAAACCTCCAGGATCCCTGGCCAAACCGGCCTGGAGAAAAATTGCTTCCTGACTTCAAAATAGCAATCAGCATTTCCCTGGGTGTGTAAAAAAGGGCCACAAGAACTAAGCACTGAGGCAACCCTTCCTGCCCTCTCTCTCATGATCTGCCCAAGTTCACAGAATCTGCATTGCTGTCAGATGGCCATGTAGCCTCTGTTTGAAAACCTCCAAAGAAGGAGAGCCCCACCACCTCTTGAGGAAGCCTGTTCCACTGAGGAACTGCTCTAACTGTCAGGAAGTTCTTCCTAATGTTAAGCTGAAAATGCTTCTGATTTAATTTCAACCCATTGGTTCTGGTCCAACCTTCTGGGGCAACAAAAACAACTCCTGGGCTGCCTTAGGCAAACTATGGCCTTGGCACCCATCTATTCCCACATTCTGTTTTCTACAGTGCCCAAGATACATGCAGATGACAGAGGTTGGTGGCAGGGAAAACTGGTATAGTACATCTTCAGCAGCAGGTAGAGGACAATGAAGCAATACAGGGGGCTGGGCAAGCGGTTGGGCTGCTGAAGGAGCACCAAGAAAGAGCCCACGCATGCACACACTTCCTTCTATCATCTGGGTTTTCCATGGCATTCTAAACAGCTCCCACATACTCTCCAGCCTCCCCCCTTTCTTTCAGCTACTTCGATGAAGTCACTAGTAGCCTGAGAGCTTTTTTCTCATTATTCTCACAAAGAAGGAAGGGGAGATGTGACCCAGGGGAGATGTGACCCACTTTCAGAGGCTTCATGACCCACTTCTGGTTCCTGACCCACAGGTTGGGAAACACCGGTCTAGAATGCATTGTAGTGTGTTGTCTGTCCTGAAATCACCCAGTAGTGTGATTAGAGATGTAAAATTTCTAGAAATTTTGAAGCGGGGGGAACACGGGCTTTGTTTTTTTTTACAAAATGGAAATTTGGGGGGGAAATTGAAATACGTACAATACTTGCTGTCCTATCTAACGTAAACCTATTTTACTGCCTTAACAACAGACAGCACATCATTTGTTACTTACTTAGCATATAAAATTGCAATATTTGAAATATTTATGGAATTTAAAAAGTTATACATGCCATAGTTTTCTACAAGCAAAATTGCAAATATACCCAATGCTTAAGAGAAAACCACAAGCAGATGCAACCTATACTACCTTAGCTCATATATCTTAGTTTTTGCTATCTGAAAAGTAGAAAAATAGGAATTAAACAGAAAACACAAGCTTTGTGTTCAGTAACATAAAATATATTATTTGGTCAGGAAAAAGGCTCAATAATAATATCTGCACAGCTCAGCTAGATGTAGTTCCAGCTAGATGCTGTCTTCTTCCTTCCATAGCTACTGGTTAGAAAGAGCTTGGTCCTCAATGAAACTTTCAGAGTTTTTCTCTGAGGCTTTGGTGCAGTTTCTTCCCCACTTCTAATCTTTTCTCCTCTAGCAAGGTGAGGCAATAAGTTTCTTGATATCCAATCTGTGGGTATGTGTGTCATAGTGGTTTGAGGGAGAGGTGAAAAGGTCAACCAGAAAAGAAGAGTCAGGTCAAAAGGGCTGCAGACACAATGAAACCTGCATGCTGCCCTCATGAAGATCAGGTATCCTTCTCAGTTGGGAAATGTATCTTGTATTTAAGAGCTGTCTACAGCATGCCCACTTTGTCTTTAAATGATTTCATCCATTCTGAAAGATAAAATATTTAATGGGATTTTTTTTCAGTACTCTCCCAAATTTCCATTATTTCCATTGGAAAAATTGAAAAAAGGCCTAGAAAAAAGATTCCCCTTCCTGAATTGCACCCCCACCCCCCGGCCTTCACATCTCTAAGTGTGATATCCAGGTTGTTTCTTCATAGGTGTGTTTGACCCACCTCATAGCTGTAGCTAATGAGATTAGGAGTTGAGACATGTATTTTCTAGGTAGAAGAACTATATGAGTACATTTTGTGGAAATAAAGATGTTCTTAAGCAGCTATTATGAAGGGTAGACATGGAACAGGTTCTCGTGTGGCACTTTAAAGACTTAAGTTTTATTTCAACATTAATTTGTAGACTAGAAACTTAAGTAGGATTAAAATGCTGTTGGTCGTTAAGAAGAATCTTGTTTATTTTTGCTGCAATAGACTAACAAGGCTGCCCCTCCAGAGGAAAAATTGGTAATGATGAGAAAAATAAGAGTCCTGGATGTGATGTGAATTAAAGCATGCCTTGTGTATTTTCAGGCTAGTTGCATTTGTCACCATAGCCCTTTATAGATTGTGTTTTCTGGAACTGCCCCTTATGCCATAGGGTAAGCTACCTTTGAAACAGGCAGTTTTCAAAAGAGATAATGTTATGTATGAGGTCAGCATGCAATGCACAAATTCCAGATGTACATTCAGTGAGACTGGAGGCCATCAACCAACTCCTTAATATTTAGTTTAATTTAGTTTGCTGTTTGCCATTTAAGAGCTGTGGGGAGATATGTGAGGTTTTATCTTCACAGTGGGGTCGCAGCTGTCAAGTTGTCTTGTACGTGTGTATGGGGGAAGCAAGGCTGCTTGAAGTCCTAAAATCCCAAATGCCCCTTAATTTGCCTCCAAAATTAATGAATGGGTCCCAGGAGTTGGGTAAAGATCCCACGTTAAAAAACCATTGTACTGGAAATGACCGATTGGGCTAAATATCAATGTGTCTTGTGTTCCAAATGGAATTTAAAATTCTGAAACTTGATTAATTATGCACATAAAATGTCACAGGTCTAAGTGTAGAATCTACCTTCAAGTTTGGATGGACTGCCCTGATGTATGCTGCAAGTGTGGTTAATGTTGAGCTAATGCGTATCCTTCTGGACAGAGGTGCAAATGCAAGTTTTGATAAGGGTAAGTATTGGATCTCAGTAAATCTGGATATTCAGTTGTTTCATTGATCACTAATGTGTAAATAAACAAGAGAACCCCTTGTCTGGTTTTCATTAACCAGAATCAATTTATGAAAGTGGTAGAGTCTGAACTAAGTCTAAGGACTAGAGAATAGAAGATTTGCATGGACTTAAACCATTTTCTGTTTAACATATTACCTGTTACTTAATCTGTAGAGCAGTGTTTTCATAAGCTGCAGAAGATAGACAAATATAAGGGAGAGAAACAGATTTGAGAGTGTTTCTATGGATTTGTACATGGGGATTATTGTCCAATAATGATCACCTTATTTAGATAATTCACATAGAATTCTGAGAGAACTAACAGTATGTAAAACATTTTTAAAGCAAGGTTTTACATAGTCATTCTGAAAGGGAAAATATTTTGGAGGAGAGTGCAGTTTTTCCATTGGGAGGGGGTGGCTGCTCTTCTGCGACGTGCTCTGAGGCATAGAGAAGATGAAGATAACTATCTTGCCTTGAGCACTGGATCTGGTCAATAATGATCTGGAGCCCCATGGTAAAATAATCTCTCCCTCATATATACACACACACACATATATATGTGTGTGTGTGTATGTGTATATATATAAAATTGAAACAAGCATTGTCTTTAGTTGTTAATGTTAACATGACTAATTGCAATAGTTAATTGTCTTGCAGAAATACTTCTTTTTATACACAGTTCTAAAATTACTTCAGCTCCAATACAAACAAGAGTATAGGCACCCCAAAGTACCAGGAGTGAAGTTTAAAGCTAAGCTGCTTTTTGCCTTACCGTATCCTTAATGTGGTAAAAGAATATTGCTGTGTGAGAATTAATTTCCCTAATGGGTCAATATTGGAATGATGATGCTCAGCTTGGCAAGACTTACATTGTAGGGAA